GTGGCTGGGGAAACCCAGTCAGATGGGCGGGGTATAAATAAATTTATTATTATTATTATTATTATTATTATTATTATTATTATTAATTCTGAGTCTATTTCATAATGCAAGTTCTGCATTATGCAGAAATGTCCCAGGTCAGATTCCTGGAATCTCAGGTGATAAGAAAGACCTCTGCCTGAGATTGCAGAGAAGCTCTGCCAGTCAGAGTAGACAGCATCAGGTCTACATGGACAAACAGTCCGTTTGGCCATAAGGCAAGCCTCTATGCCATATACAACAAACTTTTTATGATAAACTCATTGGGGTCTTCTAAGACATGGGTCTTCCCCAGGCATGTGAAGGACAACAGTGATGTTTGTTGATTGTTGCAGTCGACGATTTGTTCTTGCTGACATTTTTGCTGCTGTTTTATTGACAGTTGTTCATTTTATGAACCGTTATATTTTTTTTGTTACAATGCATTACTTTTACTTATGCTTTGCATGTCACTTGGAGAATTTATTGTGGAGCAAGCAACTTAAAACAATTAAATAGTAATAAATTTCAGAAATGACTCTTCCTGTGACATTCAGGATTGTAATCATGTGGGAGCTGGGCAAACAGGATTGTGATAAATGAACCAGCAGACACCTTAACCTGAAACTGTGGTGTACATGTAAATAAGATGTACACATGCAAGCAGAATGAAACATGGCCAGTCTCAGGGGGAGAGCTTGTGTAGGCTCTGTTCAGACCTTTGGAAAACCCCTGGTCACATGGCAGGAGTCTACATATGTAACAGCAGGTTACATATTACATATTACATATGTAATATGCAGGCTCTACTCATATCCCTGAATGCATGGATCTGGCAAGGACAAGCCAGAACACTCCGCTTCCTATTGTCCGTGCATTGCTTTGTCAATAGAGATAATCTCTGTGTAGGAAAAAAATAGTATTTCTATGGGGACTTTTTTTTTTCTTTTAAAAAAGGCAAGAATTGGACTCATTTTACTGGTATAATTAAAGGTGTTTATTTTAACAAGGCACTTGATAATATCCCACCCTCCTTTGACAAATATTTTTGTTCATTCAGTTTAATTGGCATTTTACTTTTTCTTAAGCTTTTAGTATGTTTACAAGCAATGTTTTATAGAAATTAGTGATTATATTGTATGCATATTTATTCTTGTTTTTTTTTTTAAAAAATATTTGTTAGTTGTGTTTAAATAATTTTAGGGTATAGTTTCATGGTTATGTTATACAGCAGTCTGAGAAGAGAGCAGAAAAATGGGGTGTAAATAGGAGTAGGAGTAGTAATTTTATTATTACTTATTTGCATTTTAAATAATATTTTAAACATTAAAATAAAATATCAGCTCTATTGTTTTGAAGATAAGGAAAACAAGGAACATTGCCAATCAAGCTGCAGGCCATTTTTGTATTTAATGCATAATTAACCTTTTTAGATTATTAATAGTATGGCTTCTAATTATATTATTGTATGAATCATATCAGGTATTATGTCATATGTCATAATGTATGAGCAGAAATGGATAGAACTCAATAATTTATCTCTCTTGCCACTAGAGGTCAGAGCACATCCACTCAGGAAGAAGGATGAATTACTAATGTGACAATTTTGCATTAGCTGTTGTTGGAATAAATGTGATTTTTCTTTTTACCACATGTGAGAGTGTAGTAGAGAGAACATAAAAGTAGATAATCCCCACCCCTACGTACAACATTAAAAGCTAGGTGAGAACTCTCAGATGATGACGGAAGCCCCCAGCATCTCTCCCCTCCCCCCGCCGAAAATTCTCATTAAGAAACCTTGTAATTACCAAAACAATTCAAACCAAGGTGGTTGGATCTTTTACTTTAAGCGGTTCAGGAACACTGTACTTCAAGCATGGCTCTGCATCTAACATGAATTTGTGAGACAGCTAGACTTGCCTCAGGATTCAAAACTTGAACTTGAGGGTTTCCCCCCCATCATCCCCAAAGTTTCTGTCTTTCTGCCTTCATGAAGCCCTTTTATAAAAAGGAGATATTTTATTTTATATACCCACCCACCCACCCTGTATTTTTCCGTCTATAAGACGCCCCCATGTATAAGACACCCCCTATTTTGGGGTACTCCAATTTAAGAAAACGGGAAGAGATGGCCCCCATGTATAAGACGCCCCCAAATTTTGGACATTATTTTTTAGGGGAAAAACCTAGTCTTATACATGGAAAAATGTGTGTGTGTGTGTGTGTGTGTGTGTGGAGCCTGTACCTTGAAACACAGAAGTGGTGTGGAGTGCTGCAGAGAGAACAGAGAATCAGAAAAAAATGCATCTCTTCCTCTAACAACTAATGCACCCTTTATTTTCTGATAGGGGAATCGTATCTAGGCATAAGACTAGGCAGATATTTTATAATTCAAATCATAAAAATGCCCCTGTATCCCCCAAGTGTGTGAGCATCCTATTTCAAAGAGCAAAAAGGTTGGGCCGATAATGCAAAGCACCAACAAAGAACCACACCAGTCAAATCTGCTACCTTTGCCCGTAGGAAGGTCGATAGTACACTCAGAACATTATGATTATAATTATTATATGCCTTCTTGTGCCCAGCTACTCTTCCTCCTCTTTTTCTAGCACCTCTGAATTTTCTCTCTTCCATTCTGAACCTTGTTTTCCCTTTCCTGTCGTAGAGGGCTTCTGAGTGTCTTAACATTGACAGCTTCCTGCGGCCCTACTTGGAAATATTTTTTTTTATTATGAAACCATCAAGCCTGCCATAGGAAACCAGAAACATCAAATCCACAGCATTAAGGTACAACGATCTTTCAGACAAGAGCCTAAAAGCCTTTGTAAAGACAACCCATGAATATCTTTTGGAGGCATCTACCAACGTAAGAGAAGGGGAGGTGATGTTTGTTGACTCCTGCTTATCCCTGTAGCTCTCAGTATACTCTGAAAACTTGTTCCACAGGACTGGGGAAGCCCACCAGAACACCATGAAAATCAGAAAAATCACATAGAATCAGAAATAAAGGCATTTCTGCCTTCACTAGCTCAAAAGCCATTCCCTGAACAGGCTGGCAGTATTAGATTTCCTCGTTTCCCCTCCCCACCCCAATGTAGATAGTGTTCAGTGAATGAGGAATTTCCTGATTATTTTTAAATCATCTCCATTAGAGCTAATGACTCCTGCATGCTTTGGCTTTTATTCTCCGTTTGCTGGTGACATTGCCTCGTTTTGTCTTCTGTATTCGCTAATTGCATTAAGCAGTTCTCGCAAAATGAGCTAAAATGAGATGCACCCTGATGAGGGTCAGTTAAGAATAGCAGAAGCCTGCACAGATCCTACAAGTTGTCTCTTCCCTGTCATCTCTCATTTGAAGACAGAAAGCGTGATATTTGGAAAGGATATGAACGAAAAAGCTGTAATGAAGGCCATTTTTTTATTCAAATAAAACTACAGAATATGAAATACGGTTTGATTCGCCCCTCTATCATTTGGCTGTAACTGCTGAATTGATAAATATGCCTGTGCAGGTTTAGTTCTAGTACAGAATAAAACAGCTTCAAAGGAAGCTACCTTATACCAGAGCGGACATTTTATCCATTTAGCCCAGTATTGTCTCAGGGTCTCAGGCCAAATTCTTTACTTCAGTTACTAAACAAACCTTTTACCTGGTAATTCCAGGGATTGAATCTGGAACCTATCCAGCACAAGGCATTAGCTCTGCTACTGAGCTATGTTCCCTTTCCACCACATGGGTCTTTGTGGGAGGAAAGATAGAAGCACATCCTTCAAGACACATATGGTGCTTTGCTATGCCCTTCCAAGTCTACATAGCTGGAAAGAACCAAAGTAGGCTACTTCCATAGTAGCCGGGAAAGAACCAGGCAGTGGGCCTTCTTGGTAGTGACGTCTGCTCTGTGGAACACCCTCCCATCAGATGTCAAGGAAATAAACAACTATCTGAGAGCCAGTGTGGTGTAGTGGTTAAGAGTGGTGGACTCATAATCTGGTGAACCAGGTTCAATTCCCTGCTCCGCCACATGCAGCTGCTGGGTGACCTTGGGCTAGTCACACTTCTCTGAAGTCTCTCAGCCCCACTCACCTCACAGAGTGTTTGTTGTGGGGGAGGAAGGGAAAGGAGATTGTTAACCGCTTTGAGACTCCTTTGGGTAGTGATAAAGCGGGATATCAAATCCAAACTCTTCTTCTGACTTTTTGAAGACATCTGAAGGCAGCCCTGTTTAAGGGAAGTTTTTAATGTTTGATGTTTTATTGTGTTTTTAATATTCTTTCGGAGCTGCTCAGAGTGGCTGGGGAAACCCAGCCAGGTGAGTGTGGTATGTATGTATGTATGTATGTATGTCTGTATGTATAAATAAATAAATAAATAAATAAAATAATTTATTGTGTCTCTCAAGGCAAGATCCAATGCCGGCATATAATTATTAGGTGGATATAAGTGACTAACAATGCAAATGTATACCTGGCTGCTTAACTCCCAATAAGGTTTTTTAAAAATATTTATTCTCTTACAATTATATCCAATCTTTCCCCCCCCCATTATGGAATCCTAGGCCTAGTACACATGACTCCATACCCTCCAATTAACCTAATTTTCCAGGGACAGTCCTGGAATTACAAAAGCCATCTGGGCTTCTGATTTGATCCCGGGATGTCCCTATTTTTCTTGCCAGTGCTGCTGCTACTGCCAAGCTCAGGAAAGTGTATGAGCAGGCGTTTGTCCTGAGTGACAGTGGCAAGGAAGCATCCCTTGCCTCTCCCTGGCTGCTGCTGCTGGTGGTCTCCTCCCTTGGGCAGCTTGTAGTGGCTACTCGAGAGCAGGTGAGGAGGAGGAGAGAGGCTGCCGCCACTGAGGCCCAGAAGGCAGGGCTGCCCTGGGTGGAAAGAAAGAGGGAGCAGAGGAGAGTGCAAGGAGTCTTGGTTTTTTCAAACAATACTTTGTGCGTCGGTGTCTAATCTAGAAGCCTGCAGCTGGGGAAGGGCCTTTGCTCAGTGGCAGAGCATCTGCCTTTCAAGCAGAAATTCCCAGGTTCAATTCCCAGCATCTCTGGGTACAGTTGGGAGAGGCTCCTTGAAATCCTGGAGAGTTGTAGACAATACTTAGCAAGATGGGTCAATGGTTTGACTCAGTACAAGGAGTCCCTTCCTGTCCCATTGATGTTTCCCTGCATGGGAGAAGATATATCTCTTAAATGCAGAAGGTTTCATGCTTTCAAATGAAAAAAGAAAAACCACAACTACGTCATTGTGTGCCTTAGTTGTAAATTGGCTAGTGCCTTCCCCATACTTCCTTCCCAGTGACTAAAGTGAAACTTGATTAATTTTGTGCCGCCAGGGGGCACTGCCTGCTAACATATAGTGAAAGTGAAAAGTCTTCGCACAAATTAACAACTAAGGAAGACGGTGTTATATTGTTAATTCCAACGTGAACACCAACAATTATACTATTTTATTTTTTTCACGCGCTGACCTATATTTTTGTTCAGATATAAAATGTTCCTTTAATGGTATATTATGCAGTGCTACTATTCCAAGCAGTTAGTTGGTTTCCAGAAAAAACAAAATTTAAGCACTATCCTATAAATGTTGATTTGGGCAAATGGACCCATGGAGTAAAGGTAAAGGGACCCCTGACCATTAGGTCCAGTCGTGGCCGACTCTAGGGTTGTGGTGCTCATCTCGCTTTATTGGCCGAGGGAGCCGGTGTACAGCTTTGGGGTCATGTGGCCAGCATGACTAAGCCACTTCTGGCGAACCAGAGCAGTGCACGGAAATGCCGTTTACCTTCCCGCCGGAGCGGTACCTATTTATCTACTTGCACTTTGACGTGCTTTCGAACTGCTAGGTTGGCAGGAGCTGGGACCCAGCAACGGGAGCTCACCCCGTTGTGGGGATTTGAACCACCGACCGGAGTTAAGTGGGGCTTATTCATTAAGTGTATATATGCACACTTACATGGGAGTATGCCCCATGAACTCAGCAGGGCTTATTTCTGAACAGACTAAATAGGATTGCTCTGCAAATTTTATATCCTCTATCTAAATCAAAATAATTAACATTTAGAAGAAGTAAGAAATGTGTAGCACAACTCTTTTTACTCATGTTTACTTATGCTTTACTTGTGTTTTCATTGCAGCTAACTCAAAGGAAAGTGTACACAGGATTTCAGTCTTATTGTTGCATAAGTTTCTTGGAGATCACAAGATGTTTCTCAACAAAGAATTCTGTTGAATTTGAAGAGCCAAATGGTTTCTTGCAGCAAAAAGATGTTTTGTGGACTCTTGTCTGCATTATCTTATTCAGGTATGTAGCCGTGTTGGTCTGATGAATATCTCTGAATAGAGATATTGGATTCTTGTCTCATTACATATGCTAAAGCTATTTTGGTCATCTGCATACTATCCCTTGCTTTTTCCTGTAGGACTAATTGCAGTTGTTAACAGTTGTCAACAGGTTTACCATACCCACTGAGTCAATCACCCATCTCCTACCACCCTTCTGAGAAAAACCCCACCCCACCCTCCTATATATAAGGGTCTGGTGACTTCTGTTTCAGTGTATCTGAAGAAGTGTGCATGCACACAAAAGCTTATACCCAGAACAAACTTAGTTGGTCTCTGAGGTGCTACTGGACAATTTTCGTGCATTATCTTATGTCACAATAAATCTCACAGCCCTGTATCATCCCACAGCAACCCCAAAGACTCATCATCTTAACAAAATGCAATATTTTTTTTACAGTGATTGCATGTATCCAATTTACAGTGTAAGATATTCAGGTTGAAACAAGAACATGCTTGTCTAGCTCTTATCCAAATGGAGCAATGATGGGACCAAACCAGAGTATATGGGCTAAAGTTCTGCCATGCTCAGGGTTCCTCTAACAGTGAACTTCATGGATAATTCTGAGTCAAATCCAGTGAGCTTACAATGATACTGTTATGGATTTGGGGTGGGGAGAAGTAGGCTGTATGCAGAGACCCTTCTAATCCTTGGATGCAGCAAGTGTTTAAATATAAGTCAAGCTAGTTTCCTGTTGAGGTGATAAGGTGGGTGATGGGCCTTTAAGGGGAACAAAGGAAATGGATCTGTGTGAGATGACAAATGGGTGAGCTCCCTCAACTGGCTGGTAGTTAGAAAAAGACAATGGTGAGAAGGGAGAGTTTGATGTGACCCAGAAGGAAAGCAGCAACCCAGAGAGGTAGGGCAACCATGTTTGAGAGCCACGTTTGATTTCTGTTTGAATCCAAGGTTGTGGCTATAGGAGAAACAAGACCCTTTTGGAACATTGATGTTGTGAGCCCCTCCATCTCAGGCTTAGGTTGTAGATATGTGTAAAATGATACATAAGAAAGACTACAGTCTCTGCTGTGCCTCATTCCCAAAAGCAAACACAAGCCCTGAGTAAGCGCCTAGAATCCCATACCATTCAGAGATTTGGGGTGGCATGCAACAAGACTACTACTTGTTGAATTAGCTGTACTTTAAGTCTTAAGGAAGACATTTAGTTCTCATTGCTTAAGCAGCAGCAACAGCAATAGCTGCTAAGCTGGACCTCCAGTCTGTTATTGGGCTACAGCTCCCATAATCCTTCATCACTGGCCATGCTGGCTGGGGCTGATGGGAGTTCAACAGCCACAGGCTTCCCATTCATGCTGTACATGGCCTTGTTTTTCTCATTTGCTGGTGTCACGCAAAAAGCCTACCATGTACTATATCATAAAAGAGCCACACAGAGCTAAGGTTCTCCAAAAACTGGCAAATCTAGCTAGCACAATGCATGCGCTTAGAAGAAATATTCCTCGGGGGGCGGGGCGGGGGGAGTCACACGGGACCACAATAATCTTTTGAGATAAAGTGGGACTTCAATGTTGTTTTGGAATAAAATGACTGTGGGGTTACTTTGACTACCTATGTCAGATGTGGGGAACCTCAGGCCCAGGGTCCAAATGCCATCCTCCAGACCTCTCTTCGTGGTCCTTAGGACTCGTCCCCAGGCCACCCACTCTCTGCCCAGGTCAGACCCCGTCACTTGCCTACTTGAATGGCTTTGCCTGTCCTTGAACTCTGGCAATGCCTCATGGTTGCCTGAATGGAGGTGGGGGGGGGGGAACCTAGCCTACTACCAAGGCAATATACATATTATTTTGCCTGGTTTTTTTGCCTCTGGCTCTGTCCACCTGTGGCCCTCAGACAGAAATATTCCCTAGGCCATAAACAGGGGCATGTTCAGTTATCCTGTTGTGGTGACCCTAGTTAGAGCCCCATTGAGTTCTGGAATTGTATCCCTCAGAGGAGGACTTGAAGTATTCCCTCTGCCCAGAACGTCCTGTTGACAGCTTCCTCCCAAGGTGCAGAAAGAGGGTATCATGTCATAAAAACAGCAGCAGCAACATTGCTCTTGAATGTATAGTGATAGTGAGCAGCTACTATGGGACCCCTTTCTAATGGTGTGCTACATGTAAGCACGTTGGCAGCAAATAGCTACCTTTTCCCATACTGTATGTGGGGCGGCATAGCATAAAATGAAAAAGCAGCTCCCAAGTGCATGTGCTTATGGGAAGTCTTCCATGAGACAAACTGAAATAAGGAATTCATACATGGGAATGGTCAAGGCCAGTGCTTTTTTTCTGAGGGGACACAGGGGTATGCATACCCCTAAACATTTTGTGAATCTTTGAACAGTCATACCTCGGGTTACAGACGCGTCAGGTTGCATTTTTTGGGGTTACGGACTGCCGAAACCTGGAAGTACCGGAATGGATTACTTCCGGGTTTCGGTGGTCACGCAAGCGCAGAAGCGCTAAATTGCGCTTTGCGCATGCGCAGAAGCGCCAAATCGCAACCCACACGTGCACAGACATGCCGCTGCGGGTTGCGAACGTGCATCCCACACAGATCACATTCGCAACTAGAGCGTCCACTGTACTTTTGTCCATTTACTGTATTTATTTGAACTATAAAATGGTGATTTTCTTGAGTCAAAATGAGAGCACCCCTTAACATTTTTTTTAATAGAAAAAAAGCACTGGTCAAGGCTATTAAAAAGAAGGAATCTGGGGCAAAAATAATGCAGGTAACATTTGACCATGGATGCTAAAGTTGTTAACCTGGAGAATATAGATTGTGTTTGAAGATAAACGAAAGAAAGAAAAGAAAAAGCTATTCTGTGCCGTTACCAAATTGACTCCCTTGTGCAAGGTGAACAATAGTTCCCAGAACAGTTTTAATTCTTACCTCCAGACATTGTCACATCTCTGAGTCTCTGGGACTGCCATGGTACACTAGGCTGAAAAGGCATTCATAGGAAAATGCTGACCCCATACACTGCAGGGCACTGTAATTTAGTCTTACCTGAGACATCACAAATTCAGAGGTGAAACTTGGTTTCAAGTAATTGATTTCTTTACACCAAGTTCTGAATGTGCTGTCTCTGTATTCAACCCAACATTAACCATTTAGAACCAGTTTTGTGTTCGACAGAATGAGGAGCCACCACTGATTTCAGCCATGCTCCACTGAGCCACTAAGGTAATGTAAATCTTATACCGTTTTCTTACAACACTCCAATGCTTTGTGTTGATAGATTGGATGTGCATAAACTGGACAATCCTGCACTGGACCTCTAACCTGGAGCTCTGTGCTTTCAGAACCCAAGACCTATGCCTCACGTCTTATAGCGAACAAATGAGCTAGGAGCTATTAACTGTATCACAGTATTACACAGTTAAAAAGAAATATCCTCATAAAGTGAAATTTATTAAAAAGTAGGGTTTTACTCCATACATAGTTCAGTGAATATGACTTTATTGTAAACCAGGCTCTTTCTTATTACTGTATTTTGAGATACCACTCTAAAGGTTGGTTTACCCATTGTATTCTTTTTAAGTGGGCATCTAAACATGTGAAGTGAACATTTGCAACCTATTCTTAAATCAAGAGGTTTCTGATACCGGTTAATAGTGGCACAATGGGTTAGTGGGTCTGGCTGCTGACCAGAAGGTTGGTGGCTTGAGTCCAAGCAGGGACAGCTGTGGGAAGTGTTCCTGC